TGCTGATGCTGAGTTGGATGGGCTTGGCTTTTTGTTTCTCTTTTGTATGTAAATACGGATTCGATCAGGGCCGTTAGATTCCGACAACTTTTCAAAGATTCCCCAAATCTCTCTTTTTTTTTTTTGATGATTACTAGGGTTTCGCAGGATCCGGTCGGGCAGAAACCCCCCCCCCACCGTTTTTTCAGATTCGGACGTCACGGATCAGTCTGGGCAATTATCCCCTGCTTCTCGGGGTCCCGGCATGCCCCCCCGGTCCCACCGGCCAATGGCATCGGGCCCGGGCGGGTCGAGCTTGAGCCGGCTCGGGTCGCGACGGGATCGATGCTTGTCGTGAGTTCTCATGTGGGTTTCATGCATCGAGTTTGTGTCGTGGATATATTTGTATTGGGAATCCCTTGAATCTTTATTTCATGAGATATGTAAAAGTAAATATCGAGCGCATGTAATCATATGCGTGAGTTCCTGATACTTCGGAAGATGGGTAAGTAGTTCATCACCTTCGTGTTATGGATATTTGTATTGGGAATTGCTCGAACCACTATTTCATAAAGTACACAAAAGGAATTATCGAGCGTATGTATTGGTATGCACGAGTCCATGATACATCGGAAGATGGGTAACGGATTAAGGAGTGAAAACAGGGTTAATGTCGAAAATGAACTATGCTTAACCGTACCGAATCCACCAGATTGACGAAGAAGAAGCACAAGAATGGCAGGGTAGCATCGACGAAGCGAGAACGAACATGCTACACAGCTCGATGATGAGCGAGCGATTGTCCCGCGAGTTGTCGATGCAGCTGAAGACGGCGAGTATTCCGCACATGGCGTCAGGCGTTCCTCGAGATCAATCGATTACAATGCAAGAAGAAGAAGGAGAAGGTGGTGGCACGATATGAATGGCTACGTGTACTATTCCCTAATACGAATATATTGTATATACATTTCCCTAATACGAGTATATTATATAGGAAAATGAAAATAAATCTCTTTTAGAAAAGATTGATATATCATGTATTCTCTAGTATATTGTGTATTTCATAATATAAGCATAGTTACCATGTGTATGCATTAATCTTTTTAGCTAGACCACAAGTGAAATAACATGGTTACCCTCGCATTCCAACTAAGGTGAGAACTCGAAGCTTGAAACCTTCGCAAAATAAAGGCATCGGTGCTTAAATTGGTATACGGTTTTCTTATAATGTTTTAGAATTTGAATAGTATTTTAATTTTCGAGGAGACGTCGTCGAGTCATTTCAATATTGTTACTTTGGAACATTTACATTTGGTAGTACCGGATGCAGTAAGCTAGACAAATGCTACGAATGAAAATATTTGATTGCTGCGATATCACCTCGACAAAATCGGTTGTATAACCATTACGTATTGTGCTTTTTTTTTCCTTTTTTAAGTTATTGAAGGAAATCCCAAATTCCGATCCACTTTGAAATGGTCGTTTCATCCATGCCTAAAAGAGTTATACCATCGCCATTCATTAGACACCGATCAGGAAATATCATTAAAACCTTTTTACTTATCAAAATTCGAGATTAAAAGTTATGCTGACGACTTTATTATTGTTGAAAATTTCGCATGATCGCTTGGCAAAGGCGTTTTTATATGCTCTTTATATCCATTTAGTATCCCTTCATCTATTATATTAAGCTTTTGGATTGAACTTTCCAACACAGTCAGTGTCGGAGTCAAGGTTCTGCCCATCCTGCATGTGCATTCAAGCCCACATGTTACTTCCAATCGGGCTTGCTCTTCATACACGTGTGTCGTTGGATAAGACTTTCGAACAATTATATTGATAAAATATTCTTACACATAAATAACAGAGTAAATATCATTTAAAAAAAATCCAAACTGATACACTTGTTACAAATTTACCCTAAATTAATTTTTCGACCACGGAAAATCCCAAACTGGTACACCTGTGATAAATTTAACCCAAACTAATTTTTTTACCACCAAAAACCTCAAACTGGTACACTTATAACAAATTTACCTTCCGTTAAATTGGATTAATACCACGAAAAATCACAAATTGATAAATTTGTGACAGACGGAGGGGTAAAACCCCAAATGGTACTCATCAACTGACACGTGTCATACAACTCAGCAATTCGACAGTAAAATATTACGGAAACTAAGAAAAGGTAAATTTGTCACAGATGTACCGATTTGAGATTTTTTATATAAGTAAATTTATCATAAATATATCATTTTGAAGTTTTTCGTGATATTAACTCTTAAATAATATGGAGATTTTAATTAGCCGTCAACTCAATACAATTCAAATCTTTATAAGCAGATTGAAAAAGAAGAAGAAAGAAAGAACTTGGCCACTACTAACACTATAACGCAGGCCTTTTCTGACCATCCGTCGCCGGATGTGAAACTTGGAGCGTGGTGCCGCACACCGCATCAGCGGGCTAAAGCGCAGATGTCCTTCTTGTCTCCTCTGTCCTGATCCTGCTCTTTCACTTGACTCCCCACCACGCACGCAGATCCCGCAAATATTAATATTTTATTTATCCATAACAATTATATTTTAATATCATTTTTAAAAAGGGAAAATGACGCAAATGATTCCCGAACTTTGGTTCACTATGCAATATGTTCCTTGAACTTTTAATTCGTTTAATGTGATTCATGAGCTTTTAATCTGTTCAATATGGTACATGTTCAATTTAGTCTATGGACATGATAATATTCAATGTTGTCCCTAATTTTGAATTAATGAAATGACAATATTTAATATCTTCGTAAGTCCAAAGATCCCATCGAATAAATTAAAAGTTCGGATACCACGTTACACATTAGGCCGAAGCGCAGGGGCCATCGTGTTATTATCTCTTTTTAGAGCTCAAACCCATCAACAACCCTAAATTGGTATACCCGAGTACCATAAAATCTTTTAAACTGGTATGCCCGTGCCACATTTACCCAAAACCGGTACGTCCATGTCGTGTTCACCCCAAATTTAGCTACATAAGGATTTTTTTAGGATAAATATGGCAAAAATGCACCCGTTTAGGATAGGTGTGGCACGGGTGTGTTAGTTTAGGATTTTTTTGTTTACAAAAGAAATTAATTTAAGACAAATGTGGCACGGATGTACCGATTCACAAAAATTAGTTTGGGAAAATGTGACACCGGTGTATTAATTCGAGGGTTTTTTTCATTATATTAACTTTGTTTTTGTTAACCATTATTGGTTTTTTAGGGCATTTTTCTTTTGATATGACTAATCTGTATTATCTTCCGAGAAATTTTATGCAAGCAACGAAGGTCTAAAATGATGTAGCATTACACCTCCAAAGAAGTGAAGTAGGGGCAAGAGACCCCACTATGCAACATACAAATTTGCCCGGCTAGTGATTTCGTACTTGATTGTATGAAAAATCGAACATGTGTCACGATGCTTAAATCACATAGAAGTTTGTCCCCTAGTCACATTGGTTAACGCATGACATGAATTTCGAGCGTATGTTTAGCTTTAATTTACGATTATGATAACCTCGCCAGCAACTGGCGAGATTGGCCTCGCCACATTATCATCTGTTTGATGTAGGCCGTGGCAAATCCATCGATATCATTCTAGTGGACAAAACAAAAAAGCACACATCAAGTTAAAATATATACAGATATGTTATGATAAAGTCTCTTTTAGAAAAAGTTTTGCCTTGAAGCTTGTTGTTTAGGATTGTAGATTGCAAGAATCGATCTCTCTCCTTCTTGCAAGAAAATGTTTATGTACTTTCTCCATTAATGTAGTCGCCATCGAGATGCCACCTAAGCAAAAATTATGAATCTAACCCATAATCTATGTTTTATATAGATGAAAGAGAGTTTTCCTTAACGAGTTCACGACATGGAAGACGGTCAAAGTTTTTTTTTTTTTTGGCCATTTGAATGTAACAAAATGTGTTTCGACCAAAAAAATAAACAGAATGTAATAAAATGTGCACGAGACAAATATCTATGGATAGAGGAACATCGAATGTGATTAAAAATCATATGGCCAAACAAATAGGGTCCATTACATTTTCATAGAAATGCATATTTGATATTAATTTGTTCTTGGCCAAAGATTTCATCTCGTGACAATCCTTGTTACGGACTCTCATAAAGAGAGGGGGCAAGCATTAGAATTGATCAGGGCACGATTATCAAAAAGATTAAAAAGGGAAGGGAGAGGTGACTAATAGAAGCTACAAAGAGAGAAGGGTCTCGACATATGTCAAACACTAGTCCACTTGGGGTCTGGAGTCGAGACACTCGCTTGAATTGTCTCCATCGAATCTCGAAGAATGCTATCAAAAGCTCGACAACGACAGTGGTAGCGGCATATATCGATCGACCCATCACGTGGAAAACTAGAATCATGGAAGAAGAAAAGACAAAAAAAAAAAGAAGGAAAATTAAAAGAAGAAAGGTGAAAAAAAAGAGAAGAAAATGAAAATAGGAGAAAACATCTCTCGACCGTTTAAATTAATTGCATTAATGCGCCATCTATTTAAGGGGATAAATTGCATACATCGATTTATAATTGCTTTTTAAGTACGTCCTTAAACGAGTGTTCTTATCAGCACGGCCTTCTCATTAAAATCACTAACACAACTTGCTCATATAAATTACAAAAATCCCCTATAAAAAAATTTGTCAGAAATCAAAATGCCATGTTGAACTGGTCAAGAGTTCCTAACTTTTTGCCAAAGGGTTTGAAAAGTCAAACGGTTTGACTGAGGATTTGACCAACACGTTAAGCTACACAAATCAGCCGGGGGGGGGAGCGAGTATGGGCCTGGCCCGTCCGTTCGGGTCGGGCTTCTACCGAATCCTTTGCCCGGCCCGAGACCCGTGCACGGACCCAAGCAATGGTAGCCCGGCCCGTCTCTCTCCTCCACGTCATCGACGCCACCGTCCACGTCATCGTCGTCGTTGTCGTCCACTGCGCCAAAAACCCTCGGCGACTCCTCTTCTTCTCTCTTCCTGAAATCTCGAAGTCCGAAAAGCAAGAACCTCACGCTCCGTCGTCCGCCATCGTCACCCAGAAGCCGCGAAGCCTCAAGCGGCCAAACGAAGACCGACCCACGAACGGATGGGGAGCAGGCTGGGGCGGCGGGTCGTCCACTTCGCGAACCTGCCCATCAAGCTCCTCATGCCCGCCTCCTTCACCAACATCACCGAGATCGCGCTCAAGACCGTCCCCTCCGCCACCAAGGTCGAGATCAAGCGCGTCCTCGAGTCCCTCTACGGCTTCGACGTCGGCGAGGTCCGCACCCTCAACATGGAGGGCAAGAAGAAGAAGCGGGGCGGGCTGCTGGTCGCCAAGCCCGACTACAAGAAGGCCTACGTCACGCTCCGGACCCCGCTCTCGGTCTCCCGGGACCTGTTCCCGATCCGCGCCGTGGAGGAGGACCGGAGGAGCGCGAACAAGAAGGGCGGGTCGAGCATGGTCGAGGAGGGCGAGAGGAAGAGGCACTGGCTGGAGGGGGAGGATGGCGAGAGGAGGAAGCGGGAGAAGGAGTTTGGTGAGAGAGTCAGAGGGAGTGGTGCCAAGTTCCCTTGGAGTTTCATGAAGTCTGGTAGGTAGAGTTTTCTTGTTTTTTTATTTTTTTTTGGGAGGGGGGAGGGGGTGGTTTCTTGGGAGTTTTTCCAGGTGTTCTGGTTAATAGTGTGACCATAAACATGACTTGGTGGGATTTGGTGCTTCTCATTAATAACATGTTCTTCTTTTCACTGATGTGTTTTCAATCATTTTTGCCAACTCTTGTTTCCCCTGGTGATTGTGAATCCATATGTACTATGTAGTAGTTCTGGAGTAACCATGGACAAAGTCCGAGATTTTGTCGTGGAAAATCGGTGAAGATCTTCTTTGGCTTCGGATGTCACTGGAAGTGTTGTAAATGGTTATGTGGGATTGTTCTTGCAGCGCCTACATTTGCGATACAAACTTCAGTTTGGTATTGGAGAGCAGATAAGATGGTTGAATTCATGTTTTGTTGGCTCTCGCCATGATTCTTTGTTGTCTGATTGTATATGGTTTGTTGGAAAGCCATACGATGAAAATTGTTTCTCTCTGCATATTGGGGGTGTCTAGCTTCAAAAGGGCCTTCCTTATTTGCTCATAGCAATTTAGCATGTTACGTGGCTGAGGCGTTACTTGATTTTGCTTGCTTCTCCCTACACGTGGAACCTGCCAGATTTAGGAGAAACACTTGTTCTCACTGGACAGTTTTGGCCGGTCACTGGATTTTAGTACTGGCTATTTTGTCTTGATGGAGTTTGGAGGATGGTTTAGGCTTCATCTAAGCTTGCTTCCCTCCCAGATGTTCGATATTTTTCGCCTTTGGTTTCATCTGCATCTGGCACGCTTCTTCATTGAGTTTGTTGCAGTGTGTGACGTATCGGCATGCAACTTTCAACTTTAGGATATGCACATGGTTATGATGGAGCTTTCTTTGCTAGCCTTGGCATTTTTGGCATTGTGTTAGTTTGAGGGAATTTGTGCACGTATGACTTTTGTAAAGCTGGCTTTTCAGTTGATTGGGTTGTTTATTTATTATGTCCTCCATTTTTCACATCCATTGGCAATGCAAGTTTCAATCTGGTTCTAAGATTGGAGATCAAGTTAGCGGTATAGGCTGAGGATGTGGTGCACTGTCCTCTCACCAATTGAAGTACCTAGAAGTTGAAATACAAAAAAATGAAGAAAAAGCTCTTTAGAAGGTGTTGTATAGTTTAACATAACTGAAGCAAAAAGAAATTGCCCATGGTGGAGTTCCACATGATTATACTGGATAGTTCACTGGTCATTGCGTTTTAATGTAGCTTGTTTGTTCCTCTAGAGATCTAAGACATGGATTTCCTTCTTCTGAAGCTGGCTTTGTACTTCCTAGCTGGACTAGGTCTATTATCTCCATCTCCGATTTCATCCCCTTCTTGTTTGGAATGAAAAGAGTTCTTTATCTTTCTCCAGCCTGAACTCCAAGTGGATCCGTTCCTTTGCTTGTTGTTGTTTAGCTTTTCATATTCTTGTTGAAGCTCAGTGTAATCAGTTTGTAGCTCTGCCATCTTGGCTTTGACGTTCTCAAGTTCTGCTCGAAGGTTTTTGATCTCTATCTCAGTTGACGACTGGTTTCCCTCTTGTTCGGAGTTGTTGCCACTTTGCTCTTGCTCCTTTCCTTGCATTGCTGCTCTCATCTTGACTTGCTCAGAAAACAGGACCTGATCACATACTTTTTCTTAGTTGAGAAATTTTAAAATGAAAATAAAATTGAGTGCCAAGGCTTGGTTATGGTCTTTTACAGGATATTTATTCATCTTCATCATGGTCTTGCTGGATGTCTATTCTTCTTCATGGTAATCCATGTTCTAGATGATTCATTCCTATTGGAAATCATCGGTACCATTCTCTGGTAATTCTGAGTATGTCTAAAGTAACATTGATAATCTGGGATTTAAATTCAGTATTTGCAGAACCTTGATTGGTATCCTTGAGTTTGGCATCATCTTTTAGTATGATTAGGATGCAATGCTTTGGGGCATTTTCCTGAAATTGTGTAAGGGTTGCCAAGGTTTGGTTAGTGATCTGACATTTGTCCGTCACAAAGGTGATGGAATATATTGTATTGTTAGCTACATAATCATACAACTAGGATTAATGATTTGTATAATGATGAAGTTAACTGACTTTTTTTCATGGTCAACTAATTTGGCACATCGATGTAATTCAAAAACTCTGTAAGGGTTGTGGTGGTGGGAAAGGGTGAATTAGTAATAATCTTTGTATTACTTATCAGGCCCTTCTTGGGCGTGGTTGCTTGCTTTGGATATTTTGTGTTGTTTCTGACCCAGCCAGTTGTTGCCATTATATCCGATAAACTTCCTCGTGTAAGAGAGATAAATGTAATTTATTTTCCGAAAATATCCGATTAACTAGGTTTTTGAGATTTTGGTGAAAATGGTCAGTATGTGTGGGGTTCAGTTTACTAACTGGTTAATCTCTGCCTTGAGAGCAAAATTTCTGACGATTATATATCTTCTGTAGACATGTTTTTTAATTTGAACTGCAATTTTCTTTTCTTCCATCAAGGTTTCTATCGTGGCTGCAAATTGTTTTAGCAAATCTATCTTGTATTTACTGTTCAATGAAAAGGTGCGTATGCTATTGTTTTTGCCTCAAGCCTTTAGAGTTGTGAAGACAGCTTGAGTTTGGTGAGAATCTGACAATATTCCTGTTTCCTGGATGGTGGATCAAGAAGTTTCTACAAATCAACACAGTCACCAAAAGTTCTATGCTCATTTAGAGGTTCATGTATTCCGGTTTTTCGCAATGTGGTGATAAGGGTCTCTTGACCATATATGACTTGAGATGCATATTTATGGTAGTGATGACTTAATTGCCATTCTTTCATCCTTGCCGCCCATTTTGCTTCCATGGAGATGTGATCTACGGAAGCTAGGATCATTCTAGAAGCTAAATTGGTTATGTGAGTTTTGTCTGGTTAGAGGTCAGAGATGGAGACTAGCTATCCTTCATCATTTAATTTTGGCAGCAAATTGTGGTACCGACCCTAGGATTTCACAATGAGTATTTACCTGCATGACGGTTCTCATGGGCAACCTATCATTTTGTGCAGCATGGTTGCATGCATCAAGCGAGAGTTTTGCGCAATTCATTATCTTGCATAGCCTTCTGCGGTCATACTCAGATAATGAAGGATGGCTCTGCAAATTGAATACATCTATTAGGTTTGAGTTGTTTAAGAAAGCACCAAGCTAGAAATGAGAATTAGATATGACCTTAAGATAGATATCAATGGCCCTGTAAAGTCCGTCATCGCAAGTTCTGGCGCCCTCTGGCAATGATTCAGCCAAAACCTGAAACTTGGTGATTGAGAGGTTAGGATCTCTTGCTATCTCGGCCAGATAATTGTCTAATAGCTTACTGACGTTGAATTTCCCTGACTTGTGTGGCTTTTGTTGCTGTTGCTCGTGCATCAAGAAATATTCCAGGATGCGTTGCACCACATCTATGTCATGCATTGTGCATTCGGGAGAACTGTGCTTGACAATAAAAATAGTTGAGAGGAATTAAAAGTTGTTCAATCGTGAATTTTTTTTAAAAAAATTTGTGAGGGCAAAAGGATTTTATGATACTAACTCTGATTGATCAGCGTTCTTATAAGTAGGGATCAATAAGTCATACACCGTCGCCTCTTCCAGCATCATCCCGATTCGCTTTTCAAGCTCCGAAACTAACGCTGGCGTGACACAATAGAGGATGGCCATCTTCAACATCTTTAACAAGAACTTACATGAAACTGCTTCTTTTTGTGGTGGTATAATGCTAAGGATGCTTTCAATGATCGTCCTTTGCTCCTTACTGTTCCCGAAAACCCCTTTGTCCATCCGACTAGTAACACTAAACTGTAGCTCATTTTTGCTATACCCATAACCTCTCAATCCTTCAGGTTCAGTATCCATACCTGGCACACGCCTTTCTGCATAATGCACAATAAATTTGCCTATAGTCTCTGGTTTAGTTCCTTTTGCCCTTATTACTGTCATAATCCTCATGAAGTGATCGATGCGAAGGGTGGCCACTTTGTCGAACCTCTGGCCTTCTTCGTTGACTGCTTCTCCAGTGGATTGGTGGTCTCTGGAAGCTTTCCAAGCTATTGAGTCGCAGCATCTTCGGACAATCTGGATATTTTCTGCCCATGGCGATAGAGTTTCGCATGTTTTCAGAACAATAGTGGTGTCCCTCCAGGAAGAGAGGACCACAAATGTGAGGAAGGCTTCTGTCTTTGAGATAAGATTCCCATCTTCCATCTCTTCCGTCATTTCTAGATATTCTGATGCACATCTGAGTTGAGCTATGTTCTTGGGACTGAAATCTATTGGCAGGCCGTAGCAGAATCTTAGGATGATATGGAAAGTTTCCGATCTTCCAGGGAAGTTTTCGAGCTTGCAATTGTACCCAGAATTTGATATTGAGGGTTGAATGTCTAGTCGGCGAATGTATCCACACTTTGATATGAAGGGATACTGTTGCAGGCAAGGCAAAGACAAGGAGGTTAGATGACTATTGCTGAATGAGCATGCTGATATTGATCTTATTATGACGAAAGTGAAGCTTGGTTTGTTGGATATGATTGCCTGATCATGTTGACCAATTTGGTGGTGTTTTTTTCTTACGTTAGTCTAATTATTAAATCGAGTAAACCCAAATGAAGTACTTTAAGTCATAGCTAATGTTGCTGTTTGGATTGCTTATTCCTATAGCTTTAGTGCTTTATTGGGAAGGAAGAGGACGGAGTCACTGGGTAGAAGAAAAAAGTTCCGTCTAAGTGAGCACCTTCCTCAGAGAAGATATGACTGAGTTTGTAGCACCACTACAGCTACAGAATTCACTTGACTGAAAGGGATGGTGATTCATTTTCAGAATAAATAGAATGGTTATTGGACATTGTTGGAGGACATAATCATTCATGTATGAAGTTCATTGCTCAGGAAGAAAGAATGTCGCTGAACATGACTTTGGACTATAATACATACGAGATGGAAGTCATCTTTGTGTTGGACTCGTCTATTAGAGCTGACGATGAACTTGAGAACGATCTGTTCCCAGTTCAAAGTGTAGCTGAGCAGTGGATTTGATTTTTAGCCAGTGAAGAGGGTGCTTGAAAATTCTAGCGGATTTTTCTCAGAACCTCTGGTTTAGAAGCTGGGGTCCTAAATCACTTAATGAAGATATCGCACGGTATGGAAGCTGGTTTTTCTGATGTTGACACGAAATTTAAGGTGCTTTTCTTGAGTAATTACCTTGTGGACATTGAACGTCACGTCGTCCACTTGAATGAAGAGATCCGCTGGTATCTGAGAAGCCGCTATACTGCATAATACCAAGAAAAGAACATAAGAATATGGACAAGAAACAGGAGATACTTGAGAGGTAAAAGAAGGCATGGCTAACTTCATGAATCACGCATGACAGGATCAGCTCGTACCATGGAAGTTCGTTGTCATGGAAGCAATCGGGTAAGGTGACGAGCTTGGAAGGAAGTACGAGGCTCTGTTCACGGACTTGATCGATGCCATCAGAATCAATGGCCGGGCTCTGTGGAGCAGCCGGGAAAGTCGTCATCCCGACTGGCTCGCCGATGCGAATTGGTGGTGTCGAGCGATGTGCAATGCCTGATATAGGGGGATGGGGAGCACCCTCAATTAATGTATGAGAAGTGAGTCTCTGGTTAGTATGAGAATGCTGTCCCAGTAGGTAGGTGGGATGTTTATTGCACTCCATATAAAAATCTTAGGTTGTGGGACAAAGTCTTTTGAGACCTGAGGCAGATGAGCCAGGTGAAAGTTTCCAGGGTGGGAAGAATGTCTGGCCAGTGGCCATGACATGTCCTTGTCCCAACCCCCACTCATATGAGGAAATGAGCCTATCGAAGTGTGTGGTGTGGTTCTGTTCTGTGGTTCACATTGCTACGTTGGCGACTGGTTCTCTGATTATGTTGTTCCATCACAACTTGTGTGGTCTTATTCAAATTTTCAATTATTCATTGATTGTGAAAGTACACACACAAATATACATAGTGTTAAATCATTCGTCGATGACAGTTCTTCGTTTTAGAATTTTGCAATTTGGTCCTTTAAGTATGTATGATCTCGATTTCATTATAGTCCTTTAGATGAGTCCATAAATTTTGCATGACCCTCGTGAGCAGTCTTTCAAAAAATTCAATTTTGTCCAATTCGATAGACAGAGGAATTTTTTTGTTTGTTCTGTATGACTTTGCATTTTAAAATTACTTTGTGTTTTCTATATTTGGCGGCTCATGTTGTTAGATTTTCATTTAACTCAAATTATTTGAAACTCATAGAACATATTATTTTAAAATTTATGATATAATTTTTTTCCTTTCTAAGTTTTGGAAGAAAATTGATTTTTTTAAAGCAAAACCGAAGCAATTTGATTCTTTCTTTAAGGAAATACTGGAAAACCATTCTTCGGGAACAAAATGAGAACTGTTTGCAGCTTAGAGACCAAAATGATTTTAGAGGGATGACAAGCTTTAACACAAGAAATCAAAATTAGCAAACCTAAATTTGGCGCGAATTTCGGTGTACGTCGTTTTCTGGCATGTTCAACAAAAAATCCAATGCAGCGATCCGCGAATTAACGGTTTGAATTTGATAGTTAAACCCGAATTCATTACAAAACAATTTGAGTAATGGCAAATATATCGACTTATAAAGTAATATAGTAGATATACTGTCGTTTTTATTTCACTTAAGTCACGTGGACACTGTATCAACACCGTTTACTTTTTGACGTTTATGTAGGCAAATTTTTAACGATTCTCATTAACAAAATCATGACAGAGATTTTTGACATCACAGCAAAATTTTGGATAAATTCATCATGGCGGGCATAATTTAGGATTTTTGGTCTCTTTTGCCCTAAAGAAAATAATATTAAAAATATATTATTGTTTTATTGAATTAAATTTATTAAATCTTATAAATTTGGAGGCTCGCCGTGCGCGCGCGCGAGAGAGAGAGAGAGAATGGAAGTAGAAAGGCTGCCGATATCCGCCGCGCTCAAAGGGAAGCTGGTCTCCGCCGGCTACACGTCTCTCTCCCTCCTCTCCTCCCTCTCTCCCTCTCATCTGGCTCGCGGTACGCCTTCTCCCATCGATCCATCGTTTCATTCTCGCCCCGATCATTACAATGTCGCGATACTACCGTCAAGAGGGTGTCCGTTTCATGGCGTGCAATCTGTGGTTTGTCGTTTGTTTGGGAAGTTGCGGTGCCCGGAGCTCGTGTCGGCTTGGAGTTTGATCTCTCCGGTGCTTCTAAGCTTTTGGGTATCTCTGCAATTAGCGTTCTGGCCTCCGGAGCAGTCTTGTTCGATCTTATTCTCTGTTGGGTCGTGCGAATTCTGTTGCCCGCCGTAGAAAGATGATGGCATGTCACGCGTGATGACTAAAGAGAAGTTGCAGCGGCATCTTAATGTGTGTGGGGGTTGTGTTTGAGGAACTGAGCCTTTTTTTCTTCTTTTAAAAGGGTTTTTTCTTGTGCCTCCGATTCGAGATTTGAGCTTGTGAAAGATTGTGCTGCTGCTCCATCACTTCAATTGGGTGACTTAGTTTAGCTATAAAAAGCGCTCCTCATCAGTGATAGAGTGATATATTGAAATTGGGAAGGGTGTTGTAGGTAAAATCTACCTTGATGTTGTGAGGTAGTGTCATGTTTCTATTCTCCTAAAAAGTGTTTGAAGCCGGTAGCTTTTTAGTGTTAACTGGTAAAGATCCTGATGATGCTGCTTTCTGTCTTTTGCCAGATCTAAATATATCAGAAAATGAAGCCCTTGACATTCTTAAATACGCCCCGCACGATGGTCGCATTGATACTTCCAGCGGACATCATGTCATTAATGGTATGTATACTCTCAAAAGGCTCTTGATTCATAGCTGTTGCTGTCAAAAATAGTCATTCGAGCGCTCCATGTACAGGAAGCATGGAGAGCATCATGTTGACGGACTCTAGTTTTCTTGGGCTGTTTCTTTTTCAGTCTTTATTGTGTATGGATATCATGAAATGATTCTTAGTAAATGACAGAATGCAATAATCATTTCAAAGGGAAACATTCTGACTGCTAATTTCTTTGAAAAGCTGGGAAGCTGCATTGGGGAAAGGTCCTCATCTTGGTAGTTTTGAGAATAGGAAATAGCTATGTATCGCTCTCAGAGGATGCATACTGACCTTACTAGCTATTCTGATGACATTCCCACTCTATTGGCTGTTTGAATCACTTAGTGGCTCCATGCTGTCCCTCTTTCCGGAGAAGGGGTTAATCGTGGGGCCTGATACATGACCGACATGGAATGCTTTGGATCTCTTTGGTAGTCGAACATGAGAATCTGTTGGATGGGGGGTGGGGGGTTTGGAGGGAAGTTTTAGTAGACCTCCAATTGAGGATTCCTTTCTTTCGTTTCTCTCCTTTTCTGGACATTGCAATCCTTCTCTGTTATCTCGGTTGCATTGAGAGAGTGGAGTATGGAGTCTTCTCTGGTTCTTGCAATAGCTAGATGCTTGTCTATGCTAAAATTTTTTGCAAGTGGGAACATTTTTCTTTTTATGTTCAGTATTATCTGGACTTCTAGAAGCTTTTCATGGTTGGAAGTTGTCGAGGGATTAGAACCAGATCTTTGTTTTTCAAATTTAAATATAATTTCCTTTCTGTTTGTGTTTGGTGATCCAAAAAATTTAACTAAGTTTTGCAACTTTTTGATGTCTAATTACATGGATTAGGAGATCATTTGTATTTGGTCCTTTGTGTTTTCAATCAGTCTGTTCATTCCGTTGGCTTCCCTTTTTCCTTTTCGAAATGCTTCATTGATGACCGATATGGGACACTTGTAAAAATGCAATTGATTGAAGAGTAGTTGCATCCTATTTGCAGACTCTGCAATAAAATTTTGGCTTTCCATTGATAAGAGTTTTGATTACATTCAATTGCATAGCTTGTGGGCTTTTACTTTTCATCGTGCTTTTCTTAGAAGAGAATCATGCCATGCCATTTGACTGTATAGGTGCTCAGACTGCATGGGATATGCTCCACGAGGAAGAATTGTTAACAAGAATCACTACTTCGAGTGTGGACATTGATAACATCCTGGGAGGAGGGATAAGTTGCGGGGAAGTCACTGAAATAGGTGAGTGGGATTTTTCTATGTTAAAGTTAAATAAATGCAATTTTTGTTTTTGATTTTCTCAGCTTTTCAGTAAGCAAAGATGTTTTGAAGATCCTCTTTTTGTGAATTTCATCTTTTTAGGTGGAGTGCCAGGAATTGGTAAGACACAGCTGGGGTAAGGGTGATTTGTTGCAACTCTCCTTTTCTTCTGTGGTTTTGTTTTTTTTCATCAATGGGTTTCCTTCAGTAGGATTCAGCTTGCAGTAAATGTCCAGCTTCCTATCCATTGTGGTGGCCTTGGGGGAAAAGCTATCTACATTGGTTAGTATCAATCAAGTCTGGTTTGCTTTTTGTGTTTGACCTGATAAGTGTTGTGACTATTTCTACTGCTTCCAATGTCCAGATACAGAAGGTAGCTTTATGGTGGAACGTGTGCTGCAAATAGCCGAAGCATGCAGGGATGGTATGTCAGCAAATAATACCATATCCCAAAATGTTCATGCAGGGCAAGTAGGAATGCAGCCTAAGGATTTCTTGGAAAACATTCTCTATTTCCGTGTCTGCAGTTATACTGAGCAGATTGCGTTGATCAATTACTTGGAAAAATTCATCTCAGAGCATAGAGATGTAGGTATATGTTTGCCAGTTTGCCAAATATGTTTTATCCTTTTCCTCTTGATGCCTTTCTGTCTGCATATTTCGACTTTGTTCCCTTCTAAGAGACTGTTGACCCTTCCAAGAACAAAGAGTACGTACATGTGGAATTTATCATGGTTGGTGTATTGTGGCATGTGACCAGAGGTTATACATGTCGCTTTCCTTAGTGTTTTTGTGGTTTAGTGGAATTCAGGTTCTTCACGTCCTTTTCTTTTGAAGGAGCACACAATGAATGTATCTTCTGCTTCTGTGGTGTGCTTTTTGTAGCTTAACAACTGATGCTTTTCAAAGGTTTGTACAGGTTAAAATTGTTGTCATAGATAGTATCACTTTCCACTTCCGGCAAGATTTTGAGGACATGGCCCTCCGGACCCGACTGCTCAGTGGAATGGCCTTGAAGTTGATGAAGCTTGCCAAGAAGTTCTGCCTGGCTGTAAGATACACATAATATTTGTACAAACACTGTAGTTGAGATCCTGTATAATTTTGGTTGAAGTCCCACTTCTAGCCAATGATAAAGCTCATTTATTATATGCAGTGAGCTGAAAACCAATAAGCTGATATTCTCATTTATTATATGCAGTGAGCTGAAAACCATTAAGCTGATGTTGAAATTTAGACTATTGAAATTGGCAGGCTGACAAACTCGGATGGTTGATAAGCAAGTCGTGATGAGCCATGATTTTTACTTTCCGTGTTTACAATGTTGGATCACTTTGATACGCATGCTTGTGCATGGAATATGTGCAGAAGTTTGCATGTGTGTCCATACGATATTGTGCCAGCAACCAAATTTTTAGTTTATCGTAGTGCATTCTTTGTTACATTTGTGGTAGTAATTTCAGTAGCTTTCTCCCCTGTGACTTATAATGAGAATTTCACTGTTTTTCACCGTCTTTATCTAGTATATTTCTGCCTTTTCAGGTCATTCTTCTGAATCAAGTGACAACCAAGTATGCAGGAGGCTCTTTCCAATTGACTCTCGCATTAGGTAATTGTGATTTGTAAGCCAGATTTCTATCAAATTCCTTCTTGTTCCCATAGCAGTCGACTCAAGCTTCTGCTATTTCCGTGTCTTCGGGTCCGTGTTTGCTCTGAGCAGGTGATAGTTGGTCTCATGCTTGCACTAACCGAATCATCTTGTACTGGAACGGCAATGAGCGGTACGCATACATTGACAAGTCGCCTTCTCTTCGATCTGCTTCAGCTCCATATGCTGTTACCACTAGAGGGATCAGAAACTCTGTTTCAAACTGCAAGAGAATCAAGTTGATGTAGATGACCGAGAATCTTAGTGCAATGCCTATAACATCTCCTTCTCACCTTTCATAGATTCAACTTTCTGGAATGGTGATCATCTCAAGTTTGTGTCGACCCATGCTTTTGAAGTCCGTCCTTCGAATGAGTTATTCTGTGTATTCGCTCTTAAATTTTTCTCCATCCCCTTTATCTTGCGCCATCTCTTACAAGCAGGGCCAATATCAAGTTGGCCACTGAGTTGAAGACAACCTTTTCTTCTTTAAATTTGCAGTCTTTCCTCTACATTTCATGAAAACACCGCCAATGTAAGCCGTGCCTGCTATAATCAATACAAACATCTGTACTTGTATTAACCCAAAATAATGAGTATAGATGGATCTACATAAAATGGTCTGATGTTAGCATCCCATTCAAGCAAATCAATTCATTAGGGCTTCCATTCCCCAGCCAATTCTTCACGTTAGCAATTGAAAATTTTGATATGATCCATTTCGAAATCAAGGACTTCAATGCTGAATCCTACTGTTTTGTCCCCCAAAAAAGCATCAATGGCTGAATGAATTGCACTGTACCCATTAATTGAAATGAAAAACTCAAAATTTCTATGCAAAGAAAGTTGAATTTCCTAAGCGCAATCTTTAGCTTGGCAGAAGAATGAGAATCCATCGGGAAAGAAGCAAAGCTGCTTTTGAAGAATTCTTTTATTTCCTTTACGAGCCACCCATTTTTGACCTATTGGTCCTAGCCTTATAGGCAATCGTAATAATTCCATGAACACCTAGAAAAGGTATGACAAACAAATAACGTCATCTTACATTCACATCTAACAATACCATACCCTAGTTAAAAGGTACAACGGCCCAACAAACAGACTCGACATTAATGTAGCCACCGGAGACATTATGTGAAGTATACGATCTTTTTATAGAGTGATCGGCCTTGCTTTTCGTATGAGAGACGGTGGAAGAGCCATGGGCGAAGATGGGATAAAACCATTAATAATCCCAAATTGGCAGTTCATGACACATTTACCCAAAATAATATTCGTTTCATAAGAAAATCTCCAATCGATATATGCCACGTTTACCCAAACTAATTTTCGTCCAACAAAAAATATCAAATTAATCTAGTTTCTCTCGACAAATTTACCCTAAACTTATTTTCGTATTAAAATGTCATCTGATGTGCAAGTGATTTCATGTAAAGTCTCTAGCATTTAATTTAAACAAGTTTAAGATGTCAAACGGGTGGGTCGGGTCGAGCCGATAATAGTCCAACCCAATTTGACCAATTATCATACAATACAAATCTAGAGGTCCTTACCCAATTTAATGCATACTTGAGCCGATCCATATTATTAAAACACGTGCATATTTAACTAAATATATGAAAACTCATACCTAAACTAAGGTGCAAGCGTAGAGTAAGCGAGCGCAAGATTGAATGAGAACGATAGAGTCATAGAAGTAGATTGAGTCTAAGTAAGTTTTTAACTCATCTAACACATATATTCTTTTGAGCTTTACCATTCTAAACCCATTTATAGAATATAACTCAACTCATCAAATATGGGTTAACAAAATAAAAAAGGAAAAAAAGAAAGGAAAAAAGGGAAAAAAGTTCTAAAAAGTATAGGATGGAAATGCCATTTGATCGTGCGAGGTTAGGCTTTTCTTTAAGATCGATATGGCCAATCCAGGTTTTCATTTGAAACAAGCTCCATTTCGGACCCTTATTTGAGAAAATAATGACACTTTCAGCTTTTATTTGAGATACACTCCAAATTTTTATTTGAAAAAAAGAAGACACTTCATATTTTTATTTGAATTTTTCCCTAAAATTAATGGCTTTCCTCGCTGCGAAGAAATGCACATGTCCAGCCAAGAAACAAGATCCGTTCGTTTGTATTTATTCAGGTGTCGCTGCTTTTCATTTCCCAACGTTTTCCAACACGCCAAAACCTCGTCGCGTCGTGGCGACACCCAACGAACTCTCGACGAAATCAACGAAACAAATGCATCGATGAAAGCTATACCTCTCTCCTTGCGCAGCTCGATCGTTGTCGGCATCCGATACGTTATTCTTTTCTGTCGCTCTCACATCAGCTTCGCACCAGCTGCGACACCGACCTACATCGCCCGCTCAAAGTCTCCCATTTTTATTCCATTGTTCCATTCCTCCTCCCTCTCTTCCTCTTGACGCTCCCTTCCCTCTTCTTTAAAACCCCGGACTACCGTTCGATGATCCCAAAGCTTCGATTTTCTCGCGACCCACCAACCCAAGAGCGCGCCCGAGCCGACCCACTTCGCGTTCCGCAATGCACGACCAAGGTTTCTGGTTCAGGAGCTTGGTCAAGCCTGAACGCTTGAACCCTTTCGTCCCTGGGGGCTTGTTTCTTGATGACGCCCTCCCTCCGTGTTTCGTCGCTGTCGTTCCCCGGAAAGGCGATCCCTTTAAGAATTTGGCGGTGAGTTCTTGTAGGAGAGCGGATTGCGGTGGAGTGAACGCGAGAGTGGGGTTTGGGAATGGCGTGTTTCTGTCTGTGAGCCTGTCGGTGAAGGGGAATGATGGGTATGTGTTGGACTCTGCAAAGCTTCTGGGGAATAATAATAATGGGGAGAAAGTTGAAGGAATCGAAGTGGAGGAGAAGGAGAAGGGGAAGGTGAAGGGATCGGGTGCTTTGAATACCACGAAGCATCTCTGGGCTGGAGCTGTTGCTGCAATGGTCTCAAGGTCTCTGTTCATTTCTCTCTTTTTGGTTTTATTATTTTATTCTGTTTTATTTTGGGGTTGACCAACTATTGCATTTATTTGATATATTCGTGGTGCTTTTTCTATGAATGATCTTATGTTACAGACAATGCTTCTAAGGTTCTTGCTTCTTTTGTTGGTAGCATTGCTTTGTGTGTGTGGGATTGTGTGAATGAAAGATGCTAGTTTCATGTTCTATGGATTGCGCCGCAAGCAAGGGGAAAAGAAGGTAAAGCTTAAGTGGTCTTGAGGGTAGAGACGTAGGGAAGGTGGAGGTCAGGCACTTGAACTCCAGACCTTGTGCTACTTGCAAAAGGATGGTCACCGATGGACTAAGCTGTTACCTTACAGGCTTACTACTTTTTGCAAATCGAGACGATGTGGCTATTGTATTGCATTGCATTGTAGCTAGATGTGGCTTGATTAGTGCAGAGTATATCGGGTCTAATACTAACAGTCCTAACCGGTATATGATGCAGTTCCAGATAAAACCAAGGTCATCCTATACGCTAACCAAGGATAGAACTCTGGAAGTAGACCGATTTGTCACCTTGATTGTGCTATAGGGGTGGTATATACAGTTTAGCTGAAGTGTATTATAAGCATTCTGGTATTATAAGTTGTTATATGCTTTTTGATGTTTCTAGTAGTTAGATTAGGATGATCCGTTTTGATTAATTGCAATCATGATCTGTCAGCACTTTCTCCGGCTGTGCTTGCAATGTCATGCAAAAAACACCATCTGAACAGCGACCCTTTAATATGTTCAGATAACTCGACTGGCCATTTTTGTTGATCTGATCTTCCATGGTATTTAGCTAACCAGATTTTATTCATTTTCTTGCCACTTAGTTGTACTTACTATAAGGTTTCTTTTGTCATATTTGTTATGATCACATCTTGGATTTTATTCTTGTTGTTTATCATCTAAGTTGTTAATGTTCATCATGCTGGATGATGCTTAGCTTGTTTTTCATGCTGTTTCCATGTATCTACTGAGACAAAAGCTGCTTGAATTGCATATAAAATGCTGTTTTTCTCCACCAGAACTGTTGTTGCCCCCCTTGAGAGACTGAAGCTGGAATATGTAGTACGTGGTGAACAAAAGAATCTTTTTGATCTCATGAAGACAATTTCAGCTACCCAAGGTCTGAAAGGTTTTTGGAAAGGAAATTTTGTCAATATACTTCGTACAGCTCCATTTAAGGCCATCAACTTCTATGCCTATGATACATACAGAAATAAATTGCTGAAATGGTCTGGAAATGAGGAAGCTACGAATTTTGAGAGGTTTGTCGCTGGAGCCGCAGCTGGGATTACTGCTACTTTGCTGTGCTTGCCGATGGACACAGTATGTGCAATTCAGTTTTTTTTTCATGCCACCTAAGGAGCTTTACCTCTGTGGTGTTATTATAAGATAACCCACGGTTTGTTGTAGAGCTGTATCACTAGCTGCATAACTGCAAATTGCAGTAGGTTTAAAACAGTATAACTGCATAGACTGAACAAGTCAGCAGAACATGTACAGCAATGAAACTATAGCATAGTTGCTATTGTAGTTACTTAATTGTTTAGCTTCTGAAAGCAAATAAAGAGCCTTAAAAGGACTTGATCTGCAATTAAATCATGGTCCAAATTTTTTGGACTCCATATATATCAAGATTGTCAATATAGCATTCGCTATATGTAAAAGTAGAAATAAAGTTTCCATCGGTCATGAGCCTAAGCATGCTCTTCATCTAGTGATTGTTGTGTTAACTGTCACAATCCACAGAATTGAAGCCTTGCATGTTCTTGTGGTGTAATGCTTATATTGATTTCTGGACTTTGTTTTTTGCGGTCAATATATTGATTTCTAGACTTGAAATGCATCAAATTGGTTCACATCATCCCTGGATAATGGACCAAGTAGTGAGATTTTCCTGTTTTTCCTGTCAGATAAGGACAAAGATGGTGGCACCAGGAGGGGAGGCCTTGGGTGGTATAATTGGCACTTTCAGTCACATGGTTCAAACCGAAGGATTCTTCTCTCTCTACAAGGGTCTGGTGCCCGCAATCGTAGCCATGGCACCTTCGGGCGCTGTTTTCTATGGTGTTTATGATATACTGAAATCTGCTTATCTGCATACACCTGAGGGGAGGAAGAGACTCGAATATATGAAGCTGGAGGGCCAGGAATTGAATGCCATGGAACAACTGGAACTTGGTCCCATTAGGACCTTGCTTTATGGAGCAATCGCTGGTGCATGTTCTGAAGCAGCTACTTACCCATTTGAAGTAGTGCGGAGACAACTTCAAATGCAATTACGGACAACAAGATTAAGTCCACTTGCAACTTGTGTCAAGATCGTTGAGCATGGTGGTGTTCCGGCCCTTTATACTGGCTTAATTCCCAGTTTACTGCAGGTATGGATCGGATCTTAATATATCAAATTCATTGAGTAATGTGCTTGTGCGGAAATTTCTTATGCATACTGCATTTAATATAACCACAACGATGAAAAAATGAATAGTAAAAAGAAAGCAGAGAGAGTGTGGTCTGCAATAGGCGTTGAACCTCTCCATGTGTCTGTCATCTATTGAAGTCTATTTGAGATAATGTGGATTGTGAGAGAGGAGAGTGACATTCATCTTCATTGCCTTTAAAGAAGCATCTGAGTCTGACACCAGCAATTTCTTTGCCACTTTTAAACTCTGTTCCTGTTTGAGGTTCTTGCTTCATCTTAGATTGGTATTTTAGTCTTTACCAGCATTTAAAGAAGAGAATCGCATTATAATGCCATCTTTCTGCATAGCTTCAGTTACTTTCGTGTCAATATGTCAATTAGATTCAAATTTTTTTTGGTGGGAACTAGTGGTCCTTCTATTACCCTTGTCCGACTTTGGTCCTTGTACTATATCTCGTGACTGATTTGATCCTAAACTAATCTCCAGTCACAATTTTGGGACATATTCTGTATTTTCCATCCGAAAATCATTGGAAAATGCTGATTAAGTACTGGAGATGTACACTTGACGCTGATGTGGAATAAAAAAATTAATAGTGGAGAGGAAATTACATAATGGTCCATGTCCTATTGCCTCGGTTCATTTTTGGTCCCTGTTCATGTTCATGTCCGATGCTTAGTTAGCTTTTTCAGTCGACATCTGGATGGAAATATGAACTCTGTTTTGCAATCATGATAAGATATCAGTTTAGGGATCAAATCTGCCACGAGATAAAGTGCGAGGACCAAAATTGAGTATAGGCTAGTTATACATTGACTGCTTTTGTAGTTTCCCTATTTTTCAAGAAAACGTTGACCTGGTGTGCTGATATTCAGTTTGTTAATGCGGCGCTTTATTTTGGCATTCTTTGCCTTTTCAGGTTTTGCCTTCAGGTGCTATAAGTTACTTAGTATATGAGTTCATGAAGATAGTTCTCGAAGTGGAGTCAACATAAAGAGCTCATGAGCTTATCATTGAGGACTTACCTGGGAAAGTGTTGAGGATGACATTTAGACCTGTACCATTGAAAGGTGGTTTCTGACGTTTCAGAAAGGAAACTGTTTCTTCTTTTGCACTGTTAAAATTCGTCGAAATTTCTATGATCGTCCTCGATGTCTTCTGTTTTCGAGTGGTAAGATGCTCGCAATGAACTTGAAGCTAAGAGAGGAAAATGTTTATATCATGCTTCTGTCATTCCTAGTTCCTATCTTCCCTTTAATTTCTAACATTAGGTGAAACACAAAAGCAATTTCGGACTGAACTGTTGATCAATCTAGTGTTTGTTGATGTGTTGATGTTTTATGATGATCAAGAGGAGCCTTCGCTGTTGCATTAGGTCATTCGTGGCTTTTACCTTAGCAAAGCAAGATCTATCAGATTGGACATATTTTACTAGTTGCGTATTTGTTCGTTTAGCCGGAAATTTTAATGTAGAAGTCTAGAAAGGTATCCTGAACATGGAAGTGCTACTCCATTCGTTAAGTTTTTTATTCCTAGTGCAAAGAACTCTTCCACCTGCTATGGACATGGTAATAATCCATTTGAAAGCTAATTATTCACCTTCTTAACTACCATTTAGGAGGGAAAAGTTAATCCAGAAGGAACCGTCTCCTTTAATCTCTATTCATAATACATATAATTAGTAATCTTCTACAGTGATTCAATTGGACATTGTCCAGTCTGGAAACAAGATTGTAAGTGTCCGTTTGGTTCGCAGAATCGTTTTCAGTTTTCATTTTCAGTGAAATTGAATATAAAATCGATTCTCTGTTTTCTCGAAAACGTGTTTGGTTCTTGCCAATGAGGCTAATTATTCACCAACATGAACAAATGTTTTTAAAAGCATATTTGGTTGTATTGCTTATAAAGTCAAGAAGTGTATCATCATTTTATCAGAAAATTGACATGATCATGTTCCGTCCAGACGACAATTTTGAAAACTACTTTCTAAGCTTTCAACTTGTAGTTAATAGAACCGAAAACAGTTTCCCTTGTTTTCATTAGGAACCAGTTTTCAGTCTGTAACCAAATGCGTTTTCAGTATTATACAGAAAACTGGACCAGTTCCCTTCAACCAAACATGCCCTGAAGCAAACTGATACTCGAATCGCTCCAATCTCAATAAATTCATCGTCATGGAATTCATGATTCAACCTACTATTGACATTTGATGCTCATGAATTTTAATTTCAGTTAGGTTCTTGACCTATGAAACCAAAGACTAGGTAACCATAGATACAGGATATGTTGAAAACCTCGAAAACTTGGGACAATTTCAGAACTTCCCTAAGCACAAAATTTGAACATCATTCCAACCACATAATGTAGGGTCCAAAGAGCCGACTGAACTTAGACATTTACTCATTGTTGCCAACCGTATTGTTGATTTCTATTGTTACCCAATTGGTTTAAGCTTCGGTTGGATGTAGAACCTCCATACTGGTTACCTTGAGGGTAATTCACGGGGCCGACGCCATAGCCCCCAGTGGCTCCTGGACCCCCAGCAGGACCAGGAGGCATACTGCCTCCACCATAAGTTGGAGGCCGTCCTTGAGTTGGATATGGTCCACCAGCATAACCCCGGACTTGGGTGGCCCCGCCCCCGCGATTGGGATTATAGCTTGTGCCCTGGGTCCCAGCAGGGGGATACCTGTTTGGGCCACCTGGCGGACCCCGAGGCTTTCCGTAGTGGTGATGGCCTGGCCCAGAAGACAAAGCGGGCTGGGAGTGGTTCACAGGATGGTTGGGCGCAGACCACTGCGAAGGATGAGATTGGCCTGGGTGCTGAATCGGCGGTAGGCGAGAATGCGGCAGAGGATGTGTCACTTTCTGTCTCTTCACTGCCTCTTCATTTTGCCGCTGTTGCTGCCTCTTCTTCTTGGTCTGGAACTCATGCGACGATTCATATTTTGGCAAGCTGTGATTAAAACACGCATATCATATTATTGATATTCAGATTATGCAAATCATAACATCAGTCGGATCTGTCCGGATAGGGAATATCCAAGCATTAGTTAACATACAAACCTTTTAGGATCACATGGTAGGGGATCTGTCCAGAAATACTCTGCGTCGAGTGCATCCTTGGCAGATATTCTCTATATCAAAACAGAAAAGAAAGTAAGGACTATTAATTGTATAGTGGAAGTGACTACTCGTGCAGCGAGTCAGTCAACATTTATTAAATCAAAGCTTATAGAGCACAATCAACAATTTTACATCAGGTAATAAGAGGCATAAACAGTTAAAGAGAAGTAACTGTGACCCACAAATCTGCCAAATTATTAATTACTCCTAGGCAGAAATTACAAGAAACCATTGCCTTACTAACCGAACTTCCCAAAATTTAGGGAGAAATTATTGGAAAAAAAATGTAAATTTCACTTCATGACATGGCATGCAGTCCCTGAGATGTTCTCAGAAGGACGAATAACAATTTTCAAAATACACCATAGTACTCTGCCATTGTGCTTTAGTTAACCTAAGCTGATGAAAAAAGGTTAAACAAAACAAAAATATCGAAACTTGAGAATAAACCATCTAAATCATGGAGTAGTTCTTCTAATTAAAAAGTAGTTCTACTTGATTATGACAAATCCAATGAACTATACTTTCAACTGATAGAGTCACCTCCAAGATGCCCACAGCAAACGTTGGTTTCAGATTAATATCCAAAGAATGAGTATTCAAAGGAAAAGGTTACCGAATACAAGCATATACCTGAGCTGGATCAAGAGTCAGCATTCTATCCAACAAATCTAAGGCATGACGGTCAAAGCTGTAAAAAGTAGGGAAGATAACAATTACTTGTCAAACTATATGAGGCCAAAAACAAAGATGAGAAGTCAAATATGTTCGGTACAGCAACTAAAAAATACTAGATTCGGTTTACATACTGTCTGAAAACCTCCCTGACGCGTCTTTTCATGGGCCTTGTTGGCTTGAAATTGTTATACCAGGGTATCTTGGAAACCCCAGGCCAGTTGACTTCATCAGGCGATCCGCAAAGCTCAAAGATCTTGTTTAGTTGCTCAGGCTGCAGCACAGAGAGAGCATCAATGAAGAATTCAGGAAAACATCTGAATGATTGTTGATTTTTTGCTGTTTACATTTCATTGGAGGAATGCCTCTGGGCATGTGCCAAGTCACCTGATTTAGCTAGTTCTTTCTCAAGATGAACATGCCTTATGCTCAACCGAACAAAGAAGAATTAATTCAGAAGATCAAATAAAAACTTTGAAAATTTTCTTCAACCCAGTTATAACTTATAACTGAGCCCAAGACTAAAAGAATTAAAAAAAAATCTATTGGAATAAAAGAAATAAGTAAAAAAGTTCCTCCGTGGTCATAAAAATTGATCAACAATTTGGAACAACAGGAGGGAGAAAAAGAAGAAAACGTGGCAGAGTATCATCATATTGGTTCTAGAAAATCCAAATGTGTCCCAACTTCTAGCATGTTTCACACGCCTTATGCTCAAAAGATCAAATGATTTATCTTGTATAATTTACCTAAAGTCCAGATGAACACCAGTGGTAGAAGAACAAGCAGATCATTCCTCAATGTTGTCATCAAAGACGAAATTCAGGTAGCATGCCTTACCTCGTTTTTTGCAGGTAAGATAGGTTTCCCATACAGAAGTTCCCCAAAGATGCAACCCACTGACCACATGTCAACAGCTGGGCCATATTTTGTGGCTCCAAGGAGCAACTCTGGAGGCCTGTAGTCATATCAGATAAAAGTTAAAGCAAGAAAAAACCCCTACTCCCTTCAGAGTCATGCCTTTGTTTTTCAAAATCAAAATCCAATTACCCAGTAGATTCTGGACAAGTTCCATGCAAAAGAATTCATGTTATCTAGCCCCTTCTAAAGAAGACCTTATAACTGAAAGATATATTAACTAGAGATAAACCATTCGAGGGAAAGAAAGAATTTTAATCAATCATCCAATTAACATTGCTAAGTGGCATGAAACTAATCATCCTTTGCCTGCATCCATGTATAGCAAGGCTTTGCCTGGATTCCAACCAGGCATTTCCTTGGGATTTTGGGCAGACAAAGAAGCATCCAGTGTCACCACTGAATTTTTAAAGCAACATTTTTGCCTCCGTAAGATGAATAATGTTGTAGAGCAATGATACAATACACCTAGCAGTGCCGGTTGAAGAATTTTCATAGCACAAAAGAGCAAAACTATGATAGGCTGGTGCAGATGAAAAGGAAAATTCAACTCACAGGTCATGCAGCGAAGCAGACCATATTTATTACTTAAGATGATGTATGACCGAACAAAATTGATGAGCAACCTATAGATTGTGTTCTCCTGACAGATCTAGCCCAATTGGCAGAGCTCAAGGCTCTTAACCTTATGGTCATGGGTTTTGTGAGATTTTGTAGGACCATTGCCAACTGTTCTAAAAGCTTAAACCGTTAGATGAAGGGGTGATTTAATATTTAATTACTTTAACACTCCCCCTCATGCTTAGTCTGGTCTTTTTTGCCTAGTACTAAGCGTGGACATATTTAATTAATGAGGCAAATGAGGTTTGGAAAGATTCGAACCCAGGACCTTCAGCTCTACTACCATGTGAGATTTTGTAGAACCACTGTCGACTATTTTACAAGCTTAAGCTATTAGATAAAGGTATGATTTAATATTTAATTACTCTAACAGGTTCGAACCACAAAGTACGCGGCATCATTATATACTTAGAAATTCATGTAGCTAAGTGCACTGTTTCTTGACTTTAATTATGTTCATTAGAAAACAAGAAGGATGACTCTCCCGATTGTACAGAAAGATGAACCAGCACAATACCAGTGACAGCAGGAATGATCCTGTTACTGAGCCCTATGAGACTATAATACCCAGATTTTATTGCAGACATTTCACTGCAATTTCCGGGTAATTTTTTGCCTCAATGCAATTCCTGGAGATTGACAGATGATAAAGGTGCTACAAACATGGTTTATAGGTAAACATCCTTGAAAGGTTATGAAGTATGGAGATATAATGCAATTCTTGGAGATTGACAGATGATTAAGGTGCTATAAACATGGTTTATAGGCAAACATCCTAGAAAGGATATGAAGTATGGAGATATGAGCAAAAAGTGGGATATGCACACGAAGAAAGCTAATTGAACATATGATATCACGTATTGCTATGGTGTTACTGGCAAAAAAAGTGCCTAAAACTTCCAGTTCAGTGTGATTTCCTCTTTCTCAGTATGAAGATAATCATTTGTCCCTTTGATTGATAAATAACATAAACAACAGTAGGGCTCGAAAAGGCAACAACATAGGCATGATTACCAGAAAGAAGTGAATGTTCAATAATTGATGTGGGGAGCATCTCAAATATTCATGAATCAAGAATAAACCTCTTCTAGATGTCATAATCTCTCTTTCAGAGATATGAAACTTCTGGCTAAACAGTGGAAGTTTTTGCTACTTTTTAAGTTGATAGGAACCTATGGTGCATGCGCAACCATCGGCCAGTCAAATTTACCACTCAATAACATAAACTGAAAATATTACCTGTACCACAAAGTGATAACACGATTAGTAAGATTTCCAACATGGTCATTGGAAAAAGATCGTGCAAGTCCAAAATCTGCTAGCTTCAACCTTCCCTCATTATCTATTAGAAGATTGGAACCTGCAAGAAGAGATGTGACTTACAATCCAACCACAAAAGAACTATCAACCATAAGAGAAAATGTAATTTGAAACTCATGATGACCTTTTATATCCCGATGAAGCACTTGGTTGACATGACAATAGTGTAAGCCAGTTAGCAACTGCTTCATATAACACTGAAATAAAAGCTTAATTAGGAAATTGGAATATTGTTTTGCTAGTAATTTTCCTTCAGCTATCAAAAGTCATGACACCTTAATCTGTGGAATTGTAAATCTGAGTCCAGGACGATCAGCAAGGCCTGTCAAGTCATGGTCCATGTACTCAAAAACCATGTAGATGCTGCCTTTATACTTGTTGCCCTCTACATACCCAAAAGCAGTAGTTAGATATAAGAACACTCTCCCTATGTCTTGTGATAATCCAGCTAGCCAAGATACCCAGGAACAAAATAGCATCAAGTATCTTAAAAGAAGTAAAGCCCAAAATCTCTTAAAGTAGGAAAGCATAGCATGTAGCTCTACCAACCTGCCTTTCTCTGTTCAATGGTCTCAGGACCTGGAAAGAAGTAAAAGCAACTCAATCGTGTCACAATCTGACTATGTGATAGCAAAGAGCAAGAATGTTGGAAGCTGATCATACCAGGAGATGTTACAATTTCTTTAAGCTTGATAACATTCTCATGTTGAAGCTTCTTCAATATTTTAATTTCTCGAATTGCTGTTATAGGAAACTGCAGGATAAAATGAAAGAATAAATCTGACAAGTTACTGGTCTACTCGACATACAGTCAATAGACTGACACCTAACAACCGATAATCTTCCTTTTCTAATTAGCAATAAGTTATCGAAGCAAGGGAAGAGGTGGAGGCATATGCATACCCCTTCTTTTTCATTATCCATGCGTATCTTCTTCAGAGCAACAATTTCACTGGAACTTATTTCTCTGGCCATGAACACTTGGCTGCAGATAATATGTGTGGACTTATGTGAATGATAAAAAGAAATAAACGAATCCAGCAAGCAAGTAGGATATGTTGTCAGCCAAATTTTCACACTTTGAAATTCAAAAGCAGAAGAAATTACAAAAGGGAAGAAAAAAGGAAATCTATGCTGCAAAGCAATGTAAACATAACAGCATCGACAATAACTTGTCAGATAACTAATGGCTTTACATCTACACTACTAAATAGTGAGATATTGTCAATTTAAAGGATACATTACTTGCTGTGGTCCTTGCCAATGGAAGATACAGAAACTTGAAGGTGCATTTTTCTTCTAACGCAGTACAAAAACTTCTAAAGAAGAACCCCTCTTTTATATGAGAAGCATACAAAGAGTGAAGATCCAAGTATATTTTAATTAGTTTCATGCAAGCTCGTTGTTAATCAAACCTCCCAGTCTACCAACATCCATGGATATATGAATGCACGGTTGGCTTCATTCTACTTCTTTAAATTTAATCACCAGATGTATTAGGATTCCATTACTTTCACAAACGAACTTATAGATGTCACCAAATTTTTTTCTGTTCATTGCTCCACGAAAATAATCAGATAACATATTTCATGACTTTTCTTGTGAAACCTGCCTCAAACAAGAGACCAAACAAACAATGAAACAGGAAACATGTCATTTACTTTCTCTATTCCTCCCTTTTTCTATTTTGATGGTGGAATGCTGCGGGACACAGTACCTCTAGTTCAACCAACATAGCCAATAAGCATGCAGACCACCTGGTTCCCACAAAATTAAATATTCTAACCATGATTCCCCTCCAACTAAGAAAGTTTGCGAGATCATGACCAGGTAACCTAGCTTCCCAATCCCTCAACTAATTTGGCCATGTTGATAGAAAATTGAGCAACAAGGTCAACACTAAACCCCCTTTATCCCTCACATCATTACTCTAAACCAACAAATTGGTCGACACACGGCCAACCAAATACAGAGTTTATTTTCATATCAGAATTTCTACAGTTTTCGATTGATCTCAGGTCCTATCGTCTGCTATTGGTCAAGTCCCATCAGCAATTACGCATCCCATCAGTTTCCCAAGAAACTGCCCACATGCATAATTCAACCCAAAAGGGTCGAAACAAAAGAAGACATCAAACACGACCACAACCTACTCTCAGGGCCACCAAAAAGAAAACATGGGTCGTCGCATAATCTCCAACTCGGCGCACATATAACAGTTCTGAATCAACAAACCCTCAGCCAAAAAAGAAAAAAACACGATAAAAGAAGGCAACCCATGAAGGAACAAGGAGACTGGGCACGAGTTTTGCGGACAGACCCGTAAGTGCCTTCGCCAATCTGCTCCAATTTCTCGAAGCAGTCGACGCTCCGCGAGCCCCACGACGGCGGCGACTCCTCTATGTTCAGCTGCCCCGGCGCCGCCACCGCCATAGCCCCTCCCTCTCTCTCTCTCTCTCTCTAGAGCAAGAAGGGTGTGCCGCCACTCGCCAAGCTGTTGCTGGGTCCAGAGCAGGGGCGTGCGTGCGTACGTTCGTTCGTGGTTGGCGTGAGAGAGCTTTTTCTTGTGATCAGCGGAGGCGGCAGAGTCCCTCCTGGTCCCCTGTACCTCCCCCGGAGGGCGGAAACGGGTCGGGTCGGGTCGGGTCCAGGACCCGCCCCGAATCCTTGGTTCTCCCGGGAGCATGGGCCGAAACGTTAGACCGACTCTTTAGTCCGAATTGGCATTCCGAATGACGTGGAATTGCCGCGTCCTTGCCCTTTTTGCATGTGAATTTTTTTTTGAATATGTTATATTCTAATTCTCGACACACTTTCAGATTTTTGCCCTATTTCTTTATAGAGCGTGGGAGTTGAATTCCGTGCGATGCTGTTTAGTGAGCTTTTGGAAAGTTTTCTTTCGGGCTGCTTTTGTATTCTAAGAAAAAAATCATTTCGAGTTTTCATATATTACGAGAAAGTTGCTTGGAAATCTATTTCATTTTTATTATTTTTTGTGTCGAGTAATATAAAAGTCTAAATGCACAAGACCCTGAAAAACTAGCATGCTAACCTTAGTCCCAAGATGTAGGGCTCGACGCTTGGACCTAGACCTGCGATCTCAACCCTAGGATCTCGGCACTTGAAAATTTGAGACTCTGGACCTCGAATCTTGGACGTTGGCACATGGAGTATCAATGCCCGATTTGTAACATCGGTGGGAGCTGGGATTACGAGTCTGGCCTTACGGTTCACAAACTTGCGCCATGACTTTAGGATCATACATTTCACACATTTGCACTTTGCGTTCCTCACCTAAATGTTTTTTTTTTTGGTTGTTTAGAAATGCTTGCATTTGGCATATGACTCCATTAATTAGGACTCGAAGCCAGGATATGACCTCCAGAGTAGAACAAATTCACAATGGTTCAATCACTATAATTTGTCGCGACCTAGAAAATGACATAGTTTCAGAAAATAAGTGATCGAACATTAAAATCAACAAAATAATAAAATAAATTGGACATCGGATTTATATAATTCGATTGGTGTAGCCTACGTTTACAAGGGAGAGCAGTACATGATTAAATATAAATCAAGCGATACAAAAGAGATTATAATTACATTTGAGTCACTTAAATACTTTCAGCATTTCTCAAATAACTGTCACAATGTTTAGTTATTACAATTTTTACGAAATTATTTCTCAATCTCAAAAAAGAATTCGCAAATCTTACCATAATTTATTGACTTGAACACTAAAAAGTCCTCTTGGATTACTTTAGAGTGTGATCATGAAAAAGCCGCCTTTTGGATTCTATCCAAGAAGACACTTTTTATATAAAGACAAGAATTAGATCCAAATACGAAACTCCTTCTTAGAAAACCTAGTCAAAATTATGAAATCACTCAAACTTGGAAACCTAATCAAATTAGGAAAGTTTTCTTTTCGAGCTCTAACTTGAGACATGGTCTAACAACTCTACTTTGGCTCGATGTTTAAGCCAAGTTACCATCATTTCGTTGGAAAATCCGAACTTCATTGCTACTTTTCCATAGCCCCTCATGGGCTCAATTGCCACAAACATCTCCTAAGTCTAATCGTTGCTAAGACTTGCCATAACTATTGACCTCATTAGAATATTAGCTCTACTTGCACCTTTAATTGCTCCATAATTTTACGACACAATACTCTTCACCACATATAAAAGAAAACCATCGTTGCATTTTTATTTGTCAAGAGATCGAACACATACCTTGTCAAAATTAGCAGTTACAGTTAGTGGTGAGCATGGGTCCCGAATAGAATGGGAACCGGACCGAACCAACCCTAGAAATTGATCCAGTTCCCGGTTCCAAATTTTTTGGAACTAGTACCGTGCGGTCCAATTCCCAATTCCCGGATAGGAACCGAATCGAGGTAATCCTAGTACTAGTAGTATATATAGATATTTTCACCAATTTTCATACAAGTAGTGTCAAACTTTCAGAATGTGGAACATCGTTTCATTATTATTGTTATCCATGTTCTTCCATTACTAGGAATAGTTTTAAACTTGCTTTGGAGCAATGTAGAAGATATATACTCATTGAACCACCCACAACATATATGTATATTAATTGCAAGAGAAATCCAACATACAATGCATTTTGAAAACCTCAAATTAACTAATCACTAGTCTTTTACACGTGTTTCTAGTTTATACTTGAATCAACCTCTTACTCTACATGACAACATAATACGACTTAGGTTTGACTGATTACTTCACTTATGAATAGTTATGTTTGGAATATGTAGTTTTGTTAATGAAACTCTATCTTGCTGCTTTAATTTTCATTTTGCTTGACTAAAAATGAAGAAAAAAATAAAAAAAGAATTGGCCAATTGCCGGGTAGACCCTAGAACCGCATGTTCAATTCTGAGGCCGGTTAAGGGTAAGTTCCAGATTTCAAAAATTGAGATCTCTACGAGGTAGGTTCTAGGTTACCCTAGAACTGCTCACCTATAGTTATAGTAACTATTGGCTTTACAAGCGTCACCTCGCTACAAACATCATTTATGTCGATTATCCCGCTAGCACTCTCTACTTCAGGAGTTTTTGGTTGTAACTTGACCTTGAGTTGAACATAGTCTAGATTCGTATAAACATAACCACAATTACTTCTACTCAGAAGTACGGAGGACTAGTCAAATGTAACTTTTTTGCTGACAATAGGTGAATTTAATTTCGGGCACTCAAACTGATTGCCTCGCTTACCTTGTGCAGAATGTAGGAATATGCAATGGAGCTTATCATCACTCAATCGAACATAACACTAGCAACAAAATTTTATAAGGACAGAATAATCAGCAACTTACCTGACCACACTTCCTTGAGAGTCCAATATACAATCGTAGTTGGTGGAGATCTGTTTATTAAGTACCTCATCGTACTAAGCGAATCTGCTAGAAATATCCTAGCAATACCAACAATAAAGAGTATTTTATGGGCTGTCTCCATTCATCAACTGTGCAACTTGTTATGTGCGGTGTCTAATTATGCCTACCTTCATACAAAAATTCGTTTAACAACTTTGAGCAATTTGTTCTATTGTCAATCCACAGCTGCTTGATCATCTTACAAATTTCATTTTCGATCAAAGCTCTCAACTGTAGCATCATGACAACGACATCAAAATTATGCATTACCTAAAACACCAAGGTCTTCCTCGAATAGGCATCCACAACTATTAGCTTAAATCTCGTACTCTTCCTCGAGGAAATTGCGACAACTTGTGAACATCCAAGTGTATCAACTCTGCAATATCTGTGCATTCTATGATAGTCGAACTCAACCATACTTTCCGCCATTTTCTTAAGTCATAGTACCTGCATACATTTAATTTCTCGGCCACTTAACCACATAATAGATTCCTTCTACTCATAACCTTCATGCTGCTCTCTCCGTGTCTTAATTGCATATGCCACGTTTCAAACTCTCAAACAGCTACATCCGACATCTTCTAGCAAAATCTGTCACTGTCTCGCCTTAAAGCTCCTACAGGCCACTGTATTTGATTCTTCCCATTATCACTAGAGCACCTTCAATGATCTTTAGAACTCTACCTTCTAAAGTATATTGATACCCATCTAAAATCAAGTTATTTTTCAATTTAGGAACTTGCCTCAGTCTATTTAATGTCCTCACAATACCATCATACATTATGATTTTGAGATCCCTACCACCCATAATATTGCGCTAAACATTGTTCAGCAGTTGCATTTTACCACTACTGGTGCATTGATAAGTAATAAGCCAATACCTATTTGGTGTATCATGAAACAAACGATCGGAATCCATAATCCATTTGCTAAACGACGAATCCTCAACAATAGACAAGACATTATCATCACTATCCGAGACACCATCAACAACTGCATCAATATTATTAGATGACTTAACACTAATCCTCTTACTCTTTTCGTTTTTTAGCTTAAGGCATTCCCTTTTAGGATATCTCCTCTTGCCCTAATTCGAACAAACAACACTTCAAGTCCTAAACTAACTATGTCTATTCGTATTCGAACTACTTCTACTAACACGAGTATTAAGTCTTCCTCTTCCTTCTCCTGCTAAAGCAATAGGCATAGGTTCACCAGATCATCTCCTACGATGTCCCTACTTAAAATCAAATTGCAAATTTCATCAAATTATCAAACTTCTTGATCAAAAGGAATTACTAATAGTAGAAATAGTAGTAGTATTTTAACTATTAGGCAATGAGGAATAATCAAGGCCCATATATCATATTCAAATCTCAACCGAACTCAGTTGGCTAACAACCATATTAAATTCATTGATTTGCTCAGCAACTCACGCACCTTCGCCCATCTTTAAGTGGAATAGACATTGAATTAAGTGGACCTTGCTTATCACAGAGAGCATTTCGTACATGTTTGATAGGATCTTCATCAATCCCGCAGTGATCTTTTTTTTCACGATGTTAACCGGACATTACGAGCCAACAATAGCCGAATAACATCCAACATTTGTCTTTCTAGCAATTCCTAATCAGCTTCTTTCATCGACTTTGGCTTCTTTTCTGATAGGGGTAAGTGCAGATTCTTCTAATTAAGATAGTCATCAATCTGCATCTTCTAGAAACCGAAATCATTCCTGTCAAATCTATCTATTTTCACTTTTCTTTCTTCTATCACCATCGATTCACTTCAACTTAGCCAAGACTAACTCTAATACCGATTGTTACGGAAAACAAGCGATTGGACAATAGAATTGACAAAATAAGAAAATAAATTGGACACCAAATTTACGTTATTTGGTTGATGTGGCCTACGTTCACGGGGAGAGTAGCATAAGATTCTACTATAAATTAAGTAATATAATGGAGATTGCAATCATGCTCGAGTCACTCATCCACTCTTAGTATTTCTTGGCCCCTAATTACACCAAATAACTCATACAGTATTTAGCCCTCAAATTTCTCACAAAATAATCTCACAAAGAAATTCACAAATCTTACCACAAGCTTTATTGGCAGTCCTCTTGGATTGCTTTAGAATGTAATTCACGAAGAAATTGCCTCTTGGATACTCTTCAAGAACAGAACACTTCTTA